CAAATTCCCTAATATCCAAATCCCTAATATCCAAATTCTTTAATTAGTTTCTCTTTCCCCCATTTTCAACCTTTATTCAAAAAAAAAAAAAAAAAAAAAAAAAAAAAAAAAAAAAAAATTTAAAAAGGATTTTGTTTGCCTTTGATCGGTTTGCAATGATGATATTGAATTGTATGTGGTGGATGTTTGTTTTCTTTTCGTAATAAAATTTCGAGCATGGTTTAGATGCCCTTGGTGGAACATAGAATTGGTTAGTTTAGGCTAGTGTGAGAATAACTTTCCCGAATGTGCGAAACTTAAAGTCTAGGTTTGTGGTAAGATGAAGTCGCCCATATCAAAGGAATTTGAACCCCGAAAGGTAGTAATTGATCCCACATTGTTCCCAAAAGTGAGGGTGTAATATTATTTTTTTCAAGCCTACTACATTTGAATGAGTGGCAAGGATCCTCTTTGATTTAGTACCTAGATCGAGAACTTGAGTCCTGACTCCCAAGATCGCGGCCTAAACTACTCTTAGTAATATGAAGTTGTTATGTATTGTTCATTCGCACAAAGTTAAGGCATGTCATTCTTGTTTCCTTAGTTCAATCTTTAAGTTGTTATAAATAATAGTTTGTGATGTAAATACCCAAGTTTGAAAAAAAAAAAAAAAAAAAAAAAAAAAAAAGAAGTAATGAATAGCCACCACCCTAGCGATGAAACAAGCTTGGGGGTGCGTTTTTGTTTCAAGTTTATTCATAGTTTGTATTTTGGGTCAAAGTTAGAAACCTCTTTAGGTTTGCTCTTAGTGCTATATATCTTAGCTTGACTTTAATTGCAAAGCACTTCTAGTTTTCTCTATGCCTTAACTTTGTGCCGTATTCCTTGAGTCTTGTAATGTTAGTAGAATAGTTGAAGCCATAGACGGTGGAGGGAGTTGGTTCACAAGCATATGGAGAGGGTATTTATCATTGAGATGTCGAGTGCTCTAAACCTTCTTGGGTCTATTTTTCTTTCGGCTCCTTCGAGGAGTCATGAGACATTACCATTAGGGGGAATTTGAACTTTGTGTTGGGGACGCGGTAAGATTGGTTGAATGGACCAAAGTTGAGTACATTCGGGAAGGTTAGCTAGGCCTCGGCTAGTCATGACCGTGGTTGATCTTAGGCATATACCTCATGCTCGAGTTTTATTGTTTAAGGATTCTCATATCTATGCATGTGCTTTTCTTTGAGCAAATTGATCTTTGGGTTTGTTTTTGGGCAATGTGAATTGCTTGAGGACAAGCATTTGGCTAGCTTGGGGGGATTTGATAAGTGGTTTATTTGACCACTTATTGTGTAAATTTAAACCCGATTTTGCGATCATTTCCCCTCTTTCTAACCCAATTTTGAATGAAAATGTTTTTTCTCGGCTTTCCCCCCCTCTTGGTTTGTGTTTGTCCATGTTTTGCAGGTCTATGAGCTCAATTAGGCAGGCTTTCGGTGCATGAATCGTGTTTAAGACAAGAGGATTGAAGATTGGAGAGGGCGCTCCAGGGGAGCGGGCGTGCCCCTCTCATGGAGCGGGCGCTCCTCGACTCTAGCCACATTCTGCCCAAGTTCAGGTGCTGTTAGGAGCGGGCGTGCACCTCTCATGGAGCGGGCGCTCCTCGACTCTAGTTCAGGTGCTGTTAGGAGCGGGCGTGCACCTCTCATGGAGCGGGCGCTACTCCCTTTGAAGATTGAATCTGCCCATGCTGTTGGAACAGGGGAGCGGGCGTGCATCATGTGAGGAGCGGGCGCTCCTCCCTGACACTTTCAAATCTGATCCTTCATTGAAGCATTCTAGAGAGGGCGTGCAGCCGAAAGGAGCGGGCGCTCCCAGCTTAGGAGCGGGCGCTCCTCATTGTGGAGCGGGTGCTCCTCGCTGGGAATCCGTTTTCTTTTGACGGATTTCCCTATGTGTTTCGGGGAGTATAAATACTTCCCCTTTAGCTCATTTAGAAAAGGGGGGACAGTAGCCTAGTTTTCAGAAACCTCTCTTAGTTTGAAACATTCCTTAGGATTAATTTAGCTTAGTTTTCATCAAATCAAATCATTGTATTAGTGAAATTCAAGAATTATTCTCAAAGTTTGGCAATTTGTATTCAACATTTGAAGCTTCAATTAGTAATTTCTCCAACCTTCTTCCTTTTAATTTCAGATTTTATTTGGTATTTGCATGTTATTTAAATCTTCCTAGTTCTTGGTAATTTGTTATTGGATGATAGTTATTTCAATTGTTAACCACTTTTCCCCAATTATTGAAGTATTTAGAACCCTAATTCTTGATTGCATGTTGATAAACATGAGTTGTGAGTAGTCTTCTTGCTAGGGGTTGGGTGAAGCTCGACCTTTTGGGTTAACTATGCAAATGTGGGAGAAGCATTGATGTTTGAATTGCAATTCAATTGATTATATGAGATTGCTTGTTAGTTCCTCATGATAGGTTTAGCTACCCTTGACTAAGTATGATATGCCTAATTTGACATGGAAGTGTAAATTGAGTACGTCATTACTTATTGTAATTTGATTATGTATCATCTATTGCTAAACTAATGAGGAATCTAAGTTTAGTAGTGTGAGTTGTTTTCTAATTGCATGAGGTTGATTTTACATATAGTCCTTGCTATATCTTGTCTATTTTACTCCCCGTTTGCCTATTTGCCTTGGTTGAGTGGATCTCATTCCCTAGTATCTTTAATTCATTGATTTAGAACCATAGTTTGTTTGTCTTCTAGACGAACCCCAATTCACCAATTGACTTCGAGTTAGCTTAAGTGTAAAGATCTTTGGCAATCATATCCCGTTCCTTGTGGACCGAACTCTTACTTGTCATTATGCTTGGTTTGTAAGGTGTTTGTTAATAAATGTGTTTGATTGAGTGTGGAATGTACGACCGTTCCAACGCCCATCAATTAGCTAATATATTTTACTTCTTTTATATTTTTTTAATAAAAATATAGTACAAAAACCACAAAATATATTAAAGTGCGGTGCGGTTTGGTCTAAATTTTTTTAGAAACCGCACCAAACTGCAAACCGCGGTTTGCCCATATTCAAAAACCACACCGCAATTTTCAAACCGCACTCTAAACAACCCTAGATGTAAGGTATCATTTTGTACGGGATGTTATAGAGAAAGGAAGTATTTCTCTTGTGAAAGTGCATACAAATGAGAACCCTGCAGACATGTTAACGAAAGTTCAGGAAGCAAGTTCCAACAATGTTGGAATTGCTTAATATTATCTCATGGATTGTTAGGTAATAAGTTAATACATGGAGAAATAAATTAAACTACGATTGGTTTGATCCCGGTTGAGGGAACGTACGCAATCATTGTTAAAATGGTGAAACCGGATAAGGATTACGCAATTTGTTCGTCCAAAATTTGAATGTACTCAAATTAAGCGCAAAGGTGGAGAATTAAGGGAATATATGGATATAATTGGTTCAAAATTAATTAAATCTAATTAAAGAAATTAAAGGTTAAAATAAAGAAAGAAGAAGAGAATTTGTAGGAGAGATAAGACAAAAGAAAATATGCTTTGTTGTTTTCCTTAGTAAAAGGAATTGAGCAAAGGAAGATAAAATACTTTAGGTTGTAACGTAGAATTAACAATTCAATCATTATTCACGTCAAAAAAGTTATTAGCATTAAGAAAGTTTATTTTCTTATATTTATTATTTCCTTCATAATAGTTGTTTGTTTATCCTAAAATATTATTTATTTGTGAGGTATAAATTTCATATTATCTAGTAGAAGCCATATTTCCGCTACAAGAGCTCTAAAATGTAGATTGCAACTTTTGGTTTCAATTTCAATTCACTTCAAGTTCAAATTCCTTCGATAATCAAGCATTGTGAGATTCTCTTCTTCTTATTTCATTTCCTTGCATTTGAATTTTGTTGTTGATGAAGTTTCTAGTTGATTTTAATTGTTTGATTTTTTATTTAGCTTGTTGATTTAGTTTTGATTTCAATTGCATGATGCTGATGATGATTAGATTAAACTTAGTTTTGCAATCAAACATGCTTAGTGAGTAGTTTACTTGCTAGGGATGGAGGTGAAGCATGGTGATCAATTAAGTTGATCTTAATTTGGAAATTAAATGATTTGAAAGGTGATTAAAGTGATTAAGTGAGGAATTGCATGATGTTTGATTTGATTGGAGTAGTTAACCATGATGTTAAACTTGATTGCATGATTAAATTGATTGACATAGCCAATTAATATTGGTTTGATTATAATTGGTTGAGGTCTAGGTTGTGCTTAATTTTCTTATCTAGGGATTAAGATTAGCATAATTAGAGGTTGCTTAATCTAGAAATCCTAATTGACCCTATGCTTAGTCTTTGCTTGTCCAATATCATTTGGTTTTTCAATGCTTGATTGCTTAGTTGTGAACCATGTGGATCCAAAGCCCCTAGTGTTTTGCTTATTATTCAATCTCATATTAATTAGTGATTGTTTGTTTTAGCTTAGTTTAATCATCCAAATTCCGACTTCGAAGTAGCTTAATCTAGTGATTAATTGCTTGAATTTACACCGTTCCTCGTGGCGCGATCCCTAATTTACCATTATACTCATATTTTGGTAATTAGAGTAAAACTTTATTTGGTTTAAGTGATCTAATAACGACATAGTTTTTCTCCTGTCAATGTTTGTATAGTTTAAAATTTCAAAACTTCCCTAAACAAAATCAATGATATTAGAATTAATTATGTTTCATATAAATATTTCTTAAAAAATCTACTTTATCTCAAGCTAAGTGCTCCATGCTATACATGGTAAAAGTCTAGAAAGAAATGGTCCGGTCTATTATCCTCTTGTTGATAGTACCTCAAGAAGAATGAAGCTTTAGTGAATTGCAACTTTGATGTTAAACTGGCTAAAAATCCTAAAATGTAGTTGACTTGCCATATACAACTAGAAATTTACCAAAGTTCAAATAGTTAGCAAGTCAAGCATTTCAGAAATTTGGTAGCTAAAAAACTTACACTGGTTGGGTTAACCATTTGTTGTTCTGTGTAATCTTTTAGCTCGCAAATTCTCTTCTGAGGATTGGTTAAGAATGAACTTGTTTCGGCAGATACCTGGACACAAGAGGTAGTTTATGAGCTTATTACTAACATCATACTCCATTGTTTATGATCTAACTGCTAACATCATACAAACAGGTTAAGTCTTGTTACTTTGTTAATCATTGCAACAGAATTACAATGGTATTGTAAAAGCTGCAATATAATATGGAATAAGAATGGTTCACACTAAGTCACTAACCAATTGCCACTACTCACACAACTCTTGATATACTTCCTCTAGTTTTTTTTACTTGACCTGTTTCTTTTATCACGCTTACTAATGCACAACTTTAACCATCAATAACTTTATTTCTCTATATATAAAAAATATAAAAGTTATATATTGTGATAGTACTTATTAAGACGATTCTAACAAGATCCCACATGAATATGTTTTTTCTTGCGTATTATTCACAAAACACGGTCAAAGGAGGGGTAGTGAATAGTGTAAAAGTAAAAGCGGGTCAAGTAAAAAAGAACGGAGGAAGTAATACTTTTATATTTCTAAGTGCATATCACATTTGCATTGCATAGTGAGAATTGGCACTCTGTTTCAAGAGATGTTTGTGGGAGGGCCATTTTTAATTGGTAGAATAAAATGTGTGGTGGGTAAAATTTATTTTGGTGAAGAGAAAAAGTATATTCAATCGGAGACATGGAGAACTCTTATATTGAGAGACAAAATGTAGATGTATTTGAGATGGTAGTTATATACGAAGGTGAGAGTAAGTTTGTGGTACCATGTCACGTGCCAAAATTAGAGAGTGCAGAACAATTAGGGATGGCTCAAAAAGGAAAGGGTGCAAGTAATGTGGAGCGCAAGGAGTAATAGCCAAACATCTCTTCTCCAAGTTGGAATTGCCAGAGCAAATTCACATATATAAAGCATCTGTCTTGAAGTAACTTACATGTGCAGAACGAGTCAAGTCTACAGAATCTGTGTAGTTCTTCAACTCATCACAATTTTGCTTTGCTGAGGATATATTCAATCCTGTATTAACCTTCAATGAGAAACGACAATTTGATATTTTTCAGGCTTAAATTGAAATATCTCTACGGATCACACAATAATTAAATGATTTTAATAGTTCTAGAACCACACATTTTTCCGAACACTTCCATTTAGTCCTGGAATAGCAACACAGGCAGGACTCACAGAGGCTTGATATTCACCATAATGCTCCAACTTGACAGTTTTGTAGGGAGGAATTCTTGCCGAGCTGCCTGAACAACCAGCATCCTGATAAACAAATTAAGTAATCATTTAGAGAACTTCTACTGAATGATCTAGCGGCAGTCACAGCAACCAGAGGAGACTCAAATTCTTTAAGAAATGAAATTTTCAACAGCTCTAAAATTGAAATATCTCTAAGGATCATCAATAATTAAATGATTGTAATAGTTCTAGAACCACGCATTTTTCCGAACACTTCCAGTTAGTCCTGGAATAGCAGCACAGGCAGGACTCACAGAGGCTTGAAATTCACCATAATGCTCCAACTTGACAGGTTTGTTTGGAGGATTTCCTGTCGAGCTGCTTGAACAACCAGCATCCTGATATACAAATTAAGTTATCAGTTAGAGAACTTCTACTGAATGATCTAGTGGCAGTCACAGCAATTAGAATCAAATTCTTTTAAGTCATGAAATTTTCAACAGCTCTAAAACCTCTTCAGTTTTCCAAATCAGCTAAAAGCCATAAATTAATCTTATTACCCAAGGATTTCAATAGCTAAAGGATAGAAAAGGGTTTCCTGCTATTACTGTTAATGCCCATCATTATGTACAAAATAATAATATATTAGTAATCACAGTTACTCCCTTAGTTTGAAACTGATATTCCTAGAGCAAGTGGAGCCTAGGTCATGAAAAGCACCACACCATAAGATACACCCTACACCATCTTTGATGATAGTAAAAACTAAAAAGGACCAAGAATGAAAGCTTCCTGTAAAGCTCAAGAAAATCCAGCTCTACATGAAACACGATGTTTAATACTTATACTGTTATTCGGACTAGAATTTTATAATGGGCTGGCACAAAAATTGACCTTTCAACAGAAATATCTTAAGATGTTTGAAGACTTGTCCGCTATTATAAACTAAGTTACAAGTCAACATTACACCGCCCTTGAAGATCTAGAAAATTATATACACTGTGGTAAAGAAAGGGGAAACAAAAGGCAGCAGAAATAATGTCTACACAGTTTATCATACCATTCTTAATCTAGTTCTGAGGAGCCAACTGACAACATGATATAGAAACAGATATCTGATAGAAAAGAGAAGTTAATTACCTACAGAAATAACAAAACTTTCTCAATTAAAAAACAGTTAGTATTCTCAATTCTTACCTGAAATGGACAAACAGAGAGGTTCCCAAAAAGTCCATCTTGTACATCACATGCACTGATTGAAAAACCTGCCTGCTGAAGACCACGTGAAACAAGATATGCTTCTGTCTGCTTAGATAATCCATATCCTTTATATACTGAAATAGAAGGGTCCAGTGGCTGCAATGAGGAGAGAAATAAGAAAATTTCCATGTTTTTCCATAATATCCAATCATTCAATACAAGACCACAATAATAACATAAAAATCAAGGAAGAGTTGAACAAGGAAGGAAAATGGATGTCTTACTCATCAGTATTAAATGCAATGGTACAATGCTAACATGTCAGAATAGAAACATGTTTGAGAATCAGACAATAGTTTAATTTATTAACATTATAGCTGAGAAACATTCTATGAAAGCTACAATAAGTTATACAACAAGAGGCTTTTTATGGGATATCGACACAATATAACATCAGTAGCACAAAAGATTAAAAAAAAAAATATATATATATATATATATATATAATAATTAAATTCTACAACTCCGCCAGTGTATTTCTCGCTGCCAGTCCCAAACCTGGATAAAGGAGGGTTACGGACTTACGGTAGGCCAATGACAGTAACAGTGTAAAACTTTTTCACATCGCTTGACATGAGCCACAATGATTAAGAGTAGTACAAGGATGGAACCTGGGAAGTCCTCATATTGGTTCATGTAGCCGACCCCACTTATGGGATTAAGGCGTTCAAGAAAAGAAGAAAAAGAAGAATAACTAAATTCTACTTGGAAAACAAGCACCCAAACCAAACTAATATTGAAAATTCTAATGTAGCATAGAGGCCCAGCAGGAGATTTTAGAATGGCTGAACTTCAAAGTAATTCTTTAGAGCAATAGCCCCTAGGTGGCCCTAGCAAAGACAACTCTTGTAGTGACTTGTGACACGAGCTCACATAACTTCACTTACAAAATCAAGGGACCAAAAATATATAGCCTGAAGAAGATAACAATTGTATCAGTACACATTGTTTCCGCTACTAACTCTTCTGACATGTTCCTAATAATTGAAATTATCAGTTGTTCTACATAGATATCAATTCTCTTTAGAAACCATCAAAAATTAGGGTCCTTTATTTTTCTGGTTAAAGAAAATGAGAGAAGGGCAATTCTTTTATAAATTCACCTTAGTCACCTCAAAGGCTCAAATCAACTAAAAACCCATCTAGTTCCTATATGCAAGTTTTTAACTTTTAATTCCCAATTTCCAAACATCCAAAATCAAATTTCCTCTCTTGGATGGGAGAATCGATTTGATCACCATGCCAGTAATTCAAGTATCAAGTTTCAAAACAAGTCAGCAATACCCACAATTTCAACCAAATGTCAAGTCTCTCACTATTTCACCAAAATAGATTAGGAAAAGTGGAGTATAAGAAGAGCCTGATAGACCGAAAAAACATAAATTGTAAATAGAATACATAAATTCTTCAGATTGATGAATTGCTCAAATGAACATGGTTGAATTCTTGTTAAAGGACAAGTCTGGATAGGCATATGTGGCATATCAGATTTTTCCAGGCAAATTTGATAAGAGTTTAATATTAATGCTATAGGATAAGGCCATAGAAGACTGAAGTTATTGAAGCAGCATTGGTTTTTTTACATTCCACTTTTGTAAAATATCAGATGATAAGGATACTCTCGGATAATCAGTCACTTCATCAGTCATCACATTACTGAAAGTAAAAAACCTAAAGTTGTATCAATATTTTGATGAGACCTAATAACACGTTCTAGCCAAATACCTTCGGAAAGTTCACTCCTTACCTTCGGTTTTGTAAAGGAAACAAACATAACTTGCTCCAAACTCACTAGGCTGATATAACTCTAATAAAGCATTGCATAATGCTCTACAGGATTGTAAAAACAAGCTACTCTGAATTTTCAGATAAATCGAAGACCTTGGCATCCGTTATGCAAACAGATTTTGCATATGCATTTTTCTCAGAAAAATCGGTTTCTAAATCATCTTTAGCAGGAAAAACAATAATCAGTTAGCCTGACATTTTAAAATAATAATAATTATTATTAAATTCTACATGGAAAACAAGCACCCAAACCAAACTAATATTGAAAATTCTGACGTAGCATAGAGCCCCAGCAGGACATTTTAGAATGGCTGAACTTCAAAGTAAATCTTTAAACAATAGCCCCTAGGTGGCCCTAGCAAAGGCAGCTCTTGTAGAGACTTGTGACACGAGCTCACATAACTTCACTTAAAAAATGAAGGACCCAACAAATATACCCTGAAGAAGATAACAATGACATAATGTTTCTGCAGTTCCACTACTAACTTTTCTGACATGTTCCTAACAATTGAAATTATCAGGTTCTACTTAGATATCAATTCTCTTTAGAAACCATCTAAAATTGAGGTCCTTTTATTTCTCTGGTAAAGGAAAATGAGAGAAGGGCATTTCTTTTACGAATTCACCTTAGTCACCTCAAGGCTCAAATAAACTAAAAACCCATCCAGTTCCTAAATAGGCATATGAGGCATATCAGACTTTTTCAGGTGAATCCTATAGAGTTTAATATAAACACGAAAGGGTAAGGCCATAGAACAGTGAAGCTATTGAAGCTATCACATGGTTTTTTCACATTCCACTTTTGTAAAATATCAGATGGCATGGGTAGACTCGGATAATTAGTCACTTCATCCGTCATCACATTGCTGAAAGTAAAAAAGCTAAAGTTGTATCAATAATCTGATGGACCCCATAAAACGTTCTAGCCAACAACAGTTGGAAGCTGGAACATAAAATCTCTAGATACCACCAGAAGTTCACTCCTTAAGAAAGGTTTTGTAAGGGAAACACAGATAAATTGCTCCAAACTCACAAAGCTGATATAACTTTAACACAGCATTGCATAATGCTCAACAGGATTATGCAAACAGATTTTGCATATGCATTTTTCTCAGGTCTTTTAGAAAAATAGGTTTCTAAATCATCTTTAGCAGGAAAAACAATAATCAGTTAGCCTGACTAAGCAACAAAGCAGACATTTCCTTACCAGTAATACCATAAACAGTTAGGCCACAATATATAGCAGATGGCCTTATGCAACTCATATAGCAGAAAAACAAGTAATAGCATAATTCTCCTTTGTTCAAATTGAATATGTTTCATGATTTTTCCGAATTAAATGGGTTAAATTTACAACAAACTATCCAAGCACAATTTCAAAAACAATCAAATAAAATACAAATGGTAGATTAATAATGAGAAATTGTCAAGAAATGAAAAGGGTTATTGAAAAAAAGAGTAAATTACAGAAAAACCGGCCTGAGCTTGACAATCGGAGAAGTTTTTGTAAATTCCGACGATGTCGCCTTTCCTTACAACATAGAATGCATCTTTTTCGTCCCCCATTAATTATACTTGTATCAAACTGCACCCACCAACAAAAATTAAGATTATGAACAATTGTAAGGAACAATTCTACTCACAAGCAACAACAGTAAAACAGTAACCTTTCAAATAATCAAGCAGAAAATGGGGATGAAGCGAGTCGCAGGGATCAAAGAAGGGTCTTTTCAAATTCAAAATTTTGCAGGAAGCTTGCTGTGGAAGTGGGGGGTGTCGACTATAATAAATGTCTCATTTTTTGGCATGTATGTCAAGGTAGAAAATAGAAATACTCCGTACGTAATACTTCCTCCGTCCCTATTTGTTTGCCACATTATCATAATATGGGTCAAATTTTGATACCTTTGACCATAAATTCCCGTTGTTCTACCAAAGGAAATATAGTCATGTGATATCTTGTTTGTTTCATCTCATTATAAATTTAATTAATATCTACTTTTTATAATTTTTATATATATGGAAATTGAGATATAGACGCTTTCACACATGTCATGAAGACCGCGTAAAGTCAAATAGGGCAAAAATAAAGGACAGATGAAGTATCAGTATGGATTATTTATAAATTGAGATGATTTCAACAAGTTACGAAGTAAGGATTACATGACTATACAATTTCATATACTCCCTCCATTTTTAAATACGTGTTCCACTTTTCATTTTCGGCCGTTTTTAAATACTTGCTCAATTTCCTTATTTGAAAAGCTTTTACAAAATTTAATATATTTCTCTCAACTAGTGGACCCAACATAAATGATATTTTATTAATTTCATATTTTCTCTCCTCCAATTCTCTCAACTACTTTTGATTTTTACAATTTTTTAATCTTTTATCTACCCCACTACCTCTATATTTTAGTACTTTCTCCAGTTTCTCCTAAAACTCCACGCATAGAGAAATTGAGCAATTATTTAAAAATGGAGGGAGTACTAGTATGTATCAAGGTCAAAGGATTATGTGAATAGCGTAAAAAGTCGAAATGGGACATTTATTTTGAAACGGGGTATGAAACACAGGGGCATTACAAATTACAAGTTGAAAGTGCAAGTGGTACTTAAGAAAGGGGGTTGAATTGAGTACAGGTAAAGATCTCGAACTTATAAAATATTTCTCGAAATAATGGGGAATAAGACGGTTTGTACACAGCGGAAATAGAAACAATGCGAGAAACATTAAGAACACACAGATTTACGGAGGTTCAGCTCAACCTAGAGCGCACATCCTCCCTACCCTAATTACTCTTATTAATCAACTCATAAAAACTAAACCAATTACACTGACTGTTTACGTAACTCTAGCTAAACAATCTCCACACAATGATTGTTCACACAACTCTAGCTAAACAATCTCCACCCTGAAGGTGTCACACGCACTTGAACTCACAAGCAATCACACCACAAATGCTACCCAATCACTAACCCCTTAGTGATTCAATTACAACACTCATAATCCCTTGATATGCTTTCTCACAAAGCAAAAGTAAGAGAAAATACAAATCATAAATTAAGTGTGTGCATAAACTATAACACCCCCAAATCTCCCTCTACAGAAATACCAGTATAATGCGTATAATTATACCGTATAGATAGACTTAGGTGTATTACCGCGACGTGATTACGCAAGGCTACTCAAAATACTTAACTCAATACCAAAACTTGCGGAAAACTCAACTTTCTTTTATTAATACTTATAAAAATAGTAACATTGTTATGAGTACTCAAAATAAAGACAAAACCAACATTCCTAAATTAGGTGAAGCAAATCCCGGGGACTCCCATATACTCATTTACATGACTCCACCTGAAAATAGTCAACATTGCTTACCATTAAGGTGAATATGGCAAACCAAAACAAATAGGAAATACGAATTAGCAAAATATGCAAAGTACGAAAAGGAACCAAAAATATACATAAAGAAATGTGAGTAAAGTTATTATACCTCAAACAGCAGGGAGAGGATGCGCTCAATATTGAACGCCTCCTTGTCCTCCTTGGGAATAGACCTCAGCATGGTCTTGGAGAACTATTGCACATCCGGCCACCGGGGGGATTGATGTGCAGCAGAAGGTAGATATGGTGAGAAAGCTACATAAGCGCCACCAACAGACTGCCGGCTGCCTGAAGAACCCTTTGATTGTAGCTGTGAATGTGATTTGACCCGCATGGGCCAACCAAGCTCAAAGGAGGAGTTGAAGGGATCAGCAGTACCTTGGGGATAAGGCTGAAGGCTTAGATCGCCTACAGCCGCTGCAGAACCGCTTGCAGCTTTGGGTGGATCGCCACCCTTCGGCACCAATGAGGCACCCAGCTTGTTAGCAAGGTCTATCCCCAAACTAACATTTTTGATACTCTTCCCCCCAATGGTCAGACGACCCTTCCCAACCGGAAGCTCAGAAGCCGTCTGAGCAGAAGATAGTATTCTCGACTTGGTAGAGCTAGTGACCTCGTCATCCGGCCTCCGCTTGATAATCTTGAAAAGGGATCTGAGAGCCCCCTTGTCTCCATCCTGAAAAAACGAACTAGACATTACACATACAGTCGGAAGCGGGCATTAATCATACAGTCAGTTCATAACCGTCTGTATACATAAACATGTAATGAGGGAGAAGCTGGAGCAGGCGGTCTATACCTGGCCCTTAGCCACCAGTGCGGCTTTCTTATTCTCCGCATTTTCCTTGCGGATGTCCGCTGTGGAACGGGCAGACGTTTTATCTTGGGGAAGCATCCTTCTGGCGGTCTCTGCAAAAAGAATCGTCTATCAGATCATTAAGCAGACAAAAATAAATCATGTTAGAAACAATAAAGATGGCATAACATTGCAGGAAGCATGCTCTACATTCGCTTGTTAAATGGTACTCAGACCGCAGGCGGAAAGAAACCCCTCATCTCTCAGCCATTCATGTTTGGGTACCCAGTTCTTGGGTACACTAATTTATTCGCCGGATGAGAGGGGGTTGTTGTAAGTTCAAAAAACCCCGCCTCTATTATTTTTTCATAATCTTTAGCCGGAACCTATGGGAGTTTGCACTTCTGGCCCAATAGATCCGGCTTTTTGTTGTAACAACGACATTCCAAGTTATCTCGCTGTTTGGGGGCAGAAATTAGGTAGAACAGGTTCTTTCGATCAGACCACTTAGACGGTTTGTCTAGGGTCATCAAATAGTTGGGGTAGGTGGTTAAGGTGTACCACGCCCGCCAGCCGCCTGGGCTATGGCTCAGATAGTGCATGTGGGCAAAAGCCTTCCAGCCGGGGTGAAGGTCCTGCATCTCACAGGCGGCAATGTAGCCCAGGATGTTAACCCAAGAATTTGGGGTTAACTGCCACACTATCAAGCCATATCCTCGTAGGATAGCCTTGATAGCATCGTGGAGGGGGAAGCGGAGACCGGCTAGGAAGGCCGCCTCTTAACAGCCGAAGTAGTTGTTGGCATTTGGCTGGTCATCCTTCCGAGCAATGGTACCCAATTCAGGCGGCACCCGGATGTCATAACCCTCTCCAAGAGGACGTTTAGACTTAAAAATCTCTAGGTGCTTTTCCATGTTTGCGCTGTCTTTGGCAGATACATGGATCCGGAATGGATCCCCCTCATTGCTCCACTTTAATCTCTCTTTTGCCTCACTATCCTCAACCGAAGATAGTGAGCTACTGCTCTCCTCAGAACTAGACCCAGAGGCGGTCTTACCCCTGCCTCTCTTAGAGACAACCTCATCCGCCTCCTCAAAGCCAAACATAGAGGCGGCTTCTTCACCGTTTCTGTCCTCTGATTCAAGGATCCCGTCACTAGGAGTGCTAGGGGCACCCGGAGGGGATCCTTTTTCCTCTTCAGCCTGAACTACCTCAGGCAGCACACCTTCGGTGCTCTCTTCCCTATACTCCGGATCTACAGCCGTCCACCTTGTCCGAGCCATAGTGTCCTGCATAGACACGGAGACAGTCGGATTTGGAGATGAGCAAGGGTGATCTAAACATCCAGAGATGGCACCCCCAGTCCTAGACTCAGCCGTATCAGGGGACCGACTGCCTACTGAACTAGGCTATGCCGTGTGTGCTGTTGGGGAACGAAATGTACACAAACGGAAAAAGTATGAAAGAGTTGAGAAGGGGAGAGACAATACCTCTTAGATTTTTCGAAAAATGAATTCAAGCGTTGCCCGGCTGTAACAGGCAGGCAGAAATCACGCAGTTGCTTGTGAGGTGCACAGACGGAAGACCGAATGTAACCACTTGGAAAACAAGAGAATTCTTGAAAGTACCCAGGCGGTTCAGATTTCTCCCGTTTGTGAAATGCACAGACGGTAGACCGTCTGTATCTAATTGAAAAAAAAGTCAACTGTCTGAAAGGTACACAGGCGGTTGTCAGAAGCTCTGTCTCTAGGGACGGTTGACTCTTTTTCTAAATCTTGGAAATGTCCGAAAAAAGAGGAGGGTAAAATGCTATTTATGGAACGGTAATTTCAGGTGCATCCCCGTAATTTCCTCAGAAGGTGAACGAATGAAATTGTTCACCAACGCCTAAGTGACAACTGTAACAGGCGTCACATGGCACACCACGTCACCCTTGTGAGGGGCAATTGGTTTGGGTAAATATACCCAGGCCACGTGGCCTAATTAGAAGATGACATGTGTCATCCTAGGAGAGGTTCTAAATGAACCAATTGTTGGTTTCGTAGCGTCTAACACTACGCGGAACAGAAACCCGCCCAAGACCCGCTCACTAATTAAAGTAACTAAGCATTTAATCACATAATTAATAACATAAAAGAGAGAGAGAAAAGACATTCTTACCCTTGACGCGTGCTTCGCTCGATTCACGAGCTCTTACTTCAAAGCCCGAGCCTTGCAAGTGCGACGACCTCCTACGGCTCGCACCCTCGACCCGACCTGTACGGTCTTAGTCCCGAAGGTTAGTCGGGATTTGACCAATAAAAACTAGAGTATTACGAACTTAAGGTTTTCTCACTTTACTAAGGCGATGCCTTTTTAGTTCACTTAAGTGTTCTTCCCAAAACCCAAAACTTGGATATTTATAGGGAATGGAGACTTGATCTCCATTCTCCTATCAATGTGGGAGATTTGCAATTTCCTCTATTTTATTTAAATCAAAATAAAATAAAATTGCAATTCAATCAACAAGCCACCAGTGGCACAAGGAGGCAAAGAGAGTAGGTGAGGACCACCAAGGGGGGGACCAACTCACCTTGCTCTCCAAGCCAAGCACCATCCCATTTGGTCCCCTCCTTAACCGGCTGACC